ACAGGTGACACCAGTTACATTCCGCTTGCGCTTACCAGATACGTGGAAGCTTCACAATGCTTTCCATGTGCAGCTACTGAAACCCTACAAGGACCCCAACCAACAGTTCAAGGGACGGCAGCTACCACCACCTCCACCTGTTCTTGTACAGGATGAACCCGAGTACGAGATCGAGCGCGTTCTCTCTCATCGGTGCCGCGGCGGCAAGACCCTCGAGTTCCTGATACGCTGGAAGGGATACGACCCCACTGAGGACACTTGGGTTGCAGAAGCTGATATGGGCAACGCACGCCGTGCTCTCAAGGACTATCTTGTCAAGCAGGGTGTATCTCACGCCACCCAGCTTTGAGGGGGGGACGTGTGAGAGTACGACGGCTTATGCCAGCTATGCTTGCTTGCCTTTACTTTATCATGCTATTTCTAGCATAGGATAATTATATGAATGCATGAATTGCTTGATTTCCTAGGCTAGGTGATTTCCTATATTTTATTATAGTTATAGCACCGAGCTAGGTTGCGTGCACCGAATTCTGGCTTTTCGGTTGCCACCGAATTGCCTTCTACCGAATTCGGTAAGGATCCGTTCGGGACGCTACACGGCCCGCGGAACCTTCGCGTAACACCTGGTAACGGGGCCTTGTGTCAAGCCTATATATAGCCTCGTGTTGTACCCAGGTGAACATTCAATTCGACTCAATTCTCATTCTCTTTTCTGAACTCGATCCTAGATCCTCACAGCAACTGGCCGACCAAGCGGCGTGAGTGTGGTGCGGTCTCGAAAGAAGGAGCGAGAAGCCCCCGAGTCAAGTGTGAAGGTGTGGGAGGCCGAAGCCGACGCAGTACCTTAGAGCGCAGACTCACTAGTACCGGAGGAAGCAGACGCACTAGCACCTAGAGCAGTAGACTCGCTAGCACCAAGAGCAGCAGCCTCACCAGCACCTAGAGCAGCAGTCTCAATGCCCGGGTCGGGCGGGAAACACCGGTAACAGTCACCCTCCTCACAAATAGACACAGTATACATAGCAGCAAGAATAGCATCAAAGTCAAGGTCAAAGATAGCTACCCCTGCCCTAGACAGCTCGCCCCAGCGAGGGATCTCAGTGGCCTCAGGGAACTGGTGACGCCAAGCGTCCGTCAGGCGGCCAAAGCAGCGCTGGGTGGGGTGCGCACCCCCACACTGCTCACCCGTACGGTCGCCGGTGCGCAGGACGTAGGTGCACAGACCAGTACCCCCACCCCGCTGGCGTGCAGCGTACCACTCACGGAGCTGCTGAGGGGACAGGGTCTCCCGACTGCGCTGCTGCTGCTGGCGCTGACCACCACCGGAGCCACTCCTCTGCGAAGAGCCACGACCTCCTCCTCCTCCTCCTCCGCCACCGCCTCCTCCACCTCCGCCACCTCCACCACCTCCGCTCCCAGCGCCACCGCCGCTGCCGCCTCCGCCTCCACTGCCGCTGCCGACACCTCCACCCCCGCCACCACTCCCACCACCACCCCCACCCCCTCCACTGCCTCCATTGCCGCTTCCACCGCCCCCGCTAGCTCCTCCAGCGCCCCTGCCCCCCTTGCCCTTGCCAGAGCGACGCTTCCCACTAGGGGTAGACGCCGCACCGACCGACTCCAGACCAATGAGGTCGGCCGCAGCAGCAGAGACAACAGAGGGCAAAAGAGGGGAGGGGGAACACCCCTCAAAGATGGGGGTGCGAGGGTCACCACGAGAGGCTCCTACAGCTACTATGCTCTTTTCTGCTGCTAGGAGGGCCTTCTCGAGGAGGTCAATGGTGAGAGTGGTGGGGCAAACTGAGAGGAAGTGGTCCCTGACTACGCGAAGGGAGTCAGGGAGACGGGTGACTTTGTAGTAGAGGGTGATGTACATGGGGGGGGGGGGGTTCTTGGCGCAGAACTCAGCAGGAAGTGCAGCGCGATAGCGAGTGTCACTAGTGCGGAGGTGCGTAATGAGGTCAGCGACTGTGGGAAAGGCAGCAAGGTCAGGGAAGAGGTACGGTAGCATGAGGCGGCTCAGTGCAGCAGTGGCAGGGGAGGAGTAGCGTGCAACTACAGCGTCGTACAAGGTCTGAGCACTCTTGTACTGGCTAAAGTGCGCACGCTCAGAGGAAGGTAGGTGGCGACGCACAGCAAGACGTGCAGCAGCATCGCGCGTGGCCCACTATGAGCGAACAATGGCGTCAGCATCAGCAGCGGGGGCAGGAGATGCACCAGAAGTGAGGTCAAAAAGGGAGAGGCCGTCTGCCCTATCGCACTGTAAGAAAAGCTGCAGGTCATCTATTGAGACGTCAAAGTCGATGGCCCGACCCTCAGCGTCAAAAGCGAGGACACTAGGGGTAGCCATGACAGCAGTAGACTAGCAGCGCAAACAGTAGGGTGAGGGCAGTGCTGTGAAAGAGGCGCTGCTCTTACCGGACAGGGCGGTTCGGGCGGCTCGGCTGCAGGGCGACTCGGCGGTTCGGCTGCTGGGCGGCTCGGCGGCTCGGCTGCTCGGCTTCTGGGCGGCTCGGTTGCTGGGCGGCTCGGCTGCTGGGCGGCTCGGCGGGGTCGCTGAGAGGGCGGCGTCCGGGGCCGCTGGGAGGAGGCGGCGGGGCCGCTGAGAGGAGGCGGCGGGGCCGCCAAGGTAGGTGCGGGGCCGCAGGTAGGTGGCGGGGCCGCTAGTAGGTGGCGGGGCCGCAGGTAGGTGGCGGGGCCGCTGGTAGGTGGCGGGGCCGCAGGTAGGTGGCGGGGCCAGCAGGTAGGTGGCGGGGCTGCACAGGTAGGTGGCGGGGCCGCGGGTAGGTGGCGGGGCCGCTGGTAGGTGGCGGGGCCGCAGGTAGGTGGCGGGGCTGCACAGGTAGGTGGCGGGGCCGCGGGTAGGTGGAAGGGCCGCTGGTAGGTGGCGGGGCCGCAGGTAGGTGGCCGGGCCGCACAGGTAGGTGGCGGGGCCGCGGGTAGGTGGCGGGGCTGCTGGTAGGTGGCGGGGCCGCAGGTAGGTGGCGGGGCCAGCAGGTAGGCGCCGGGGCCGCACAGGTAGGCGTCGAGGCCGCAGGGCGGCGGGTCGGGGCCAGGAAGGGCGGCGCGAGGGCCGCAAGGCAGGCGACAGGGCCGCTAGGGCGGCGCGACGGGGCGAGAAAAAAGGGGGAGCGCGACTCGGGTAGGGCTGAGCGCGCTCCGGGCAGGAAAAGAAAAAAAATGTCGAATTGGTGGGCCCTAGGAACAGTTCCCACGAGGGAACCGGCTCGATACCATGTGAGAATCGAAATAAAAATGAATGAACTATGAATGAATTGGGTACAAGTACTAACCCTAATTGGGTTGTACCCCTTATAGGCTACCCCACTATAGCCTACACAATATGCATGAGCTATAATGTTCTGACAGCGCCATCACTGGCTGCGCCTGAGCGCTGTCCCACGCTGTCGTGTTGCGTTCGTGTGCCGGACGAAATGACGATCGGCTCGTCCGATTGTGCAGATGCATTTGTCGGTGCGAGTGGTGGCGCTGGAATGTTCACCGTGGATTGCTGACGTGCGGAGTCACGTTCCGCCGTGAGCGTCGCTGTTTCGAGCGTCGAATCTTCAAGTTGGCGCACCAGACGGTCAAGCTGCTCCTGCGTCAATGTGGCGAGCGTGAATTCGGCCATGGCGGGGGTGTCGGGCGAGCTCAGCGAGAGCCTCGGTCGTGGCCGTGCGTGCTTACGAGAGAGCACTACGAGCGGCGGTGCTGTGTCGCTGAGAGACGTCTACCCCCCCCCAAAAAATTGATATAGTGGGGAAGCGAAGGTGTGGGTGCGGTCCGAGAGGAGATTGTAGGCTTTTAATACCAAGTGTTACGAGTGCAATTGAGTGAACGAACGAGAATTGCACTATCGAAGCAAGAGTACAATGAGCGAAGGCATGAGCGAAGAATATATAGCGAAACTACAGTGGTAACGGTAATGGACTGTGGTTGTCGCGCGACGGGCCTGGGACTGTGGTTGGGAAAAAGTGTCGAAGCGGAGGCCCGGAGCACGGGTTACTCGCCGAGGCGTGAGGTCGGGGTGCGATGTGCGAAGGTGGCGGGCGGATTGTCGATGTGAGGGTTGCGAGTGGTAACGGTGCTGACTGTGGTGCTACAGTGATGTACGCGTTGAGCATGGATGCGAAGTAAGGAAAAGGAATTTTCCTTTCAGATACAAACTGTGATGGAGTTCACTTCAGACTGTGTTAAGGAAGGTTTGTTCACTTCAATGTTAAGTACCCATAGCTACATGAAGCTGAACAGCCAAGAATGCATGGAGTGGGCAAATGGTCTCTTGAGCAAGAACGGTTGTTTCGTTAGCGGAGATTTTGGGCGACCGACATTTTCGATGTTGGTTTTCCAGCCACTACTGCAGCGGCTTGACAAATCCCGCCTTTCAAATTTCAGCCATGCAGCACGACGGCCCGCAGTCATCGAGTCGCATCCCTTCCAGACGACCAATGGTGTTTCCCGCTCCTTCCCACAGAGCCGGTGGCCCGCTGCATTCCAAATTTTCAGGTTCGTCAAAATTACAGCTACGGACGCCACCGCAGTCAATTTCCCTGAGGTTCCGCCATCCGCTGGAACACTGGGAGGAACCAAACGTAGAGAGGGAGAAAGAGAGAGATCAGCAAGGAAGCACCCATGCAAGTGATATGGCCGTTTTCTCAAAAGCGCAAACGGCTGTTGTGCTCCTTCGGTGGCGAGGCGAGGCGAGGTACCCTCGACCTGTCGAACCGCTCCGACAGAACAGACGACCGACGAAAACACGGCGGGTTGAAACGCCTGTGCGAGTTCGTGCCCTTTAAATGTAGGCCAATGAAAGAGTTGGACAATCAGCCACTGCTCACATCTCCACTTCCCTTCCTCTGACCATCAAAGCTAACCTGCTTGTGAGTAACAGTCTCATTCGACGCAGCAGTCCGATCCTGAAATCCATAGTTTGACCGTAGTTGATCAATCCACGCTAACTAGCCTCTTCTCACCAGACCCGAAGCCAGTCAACAAGAGCCATGGCTCGTTCATTCGCCTTCGCTGTCGCTTTAGCCGCGCTTGCCGTCATCTGCGCCGTTTCGTCCGTTAGCGCGATAACCGCCGCGCCAGGAACAACGCCAGCTCCGAACGCCAAGGGAATTCCGGCAACAGGAACGGGAGCGGCGCCGAAGCCGAAGGCAGGGCCGCCGCCGACGAGGACGCAGCTGCGCGCCGAGCTGAAGAAGCTGTCGGCGACAATCACCAAGAAGTACCCGAAATACGCCAAGTACTCGACGCAAGTCAACAAGGCCATCAATGTCGCCCGTGAGTTTCATCAACACTCCTAGCATGCAGAGCATATGGCCTTCTGGTAGTCCTCCTGGGAACGGCTCCCAAAGCACCCAGAAGATGGGCATCAAGAATGCCAATCAAGGGGCCTCATAGGAGTCTTGCTAGCAACGGCTGCTCAGTCTCGTCAGCCGTCGACTCGCCAGACGCTCCCTTTTCGATCCCCTCCCATGCTGTTATGCCACACCCTTCTCGATCCGCTTTTGATTGCAATCCTTTCCTAACCGTGTTGATTCCATTCTCCCCTCGGGGCTCCCCCGTCCATCTCTGATACAGTGAACTCCAAGTACAACTTGACGGCGCTGCAGAGCGCTACGATTCTGCTGATGAACGACGTGGTGGCGGACCGCCTGTCGCTGCGCTTCAAGGGCAAGAAGATCCCCAACGACGCGGCATACAACTTGACGGCCGTGCAGATCATCGCGAGGCGCCTCACGCTGCCGGATCTGCAGGCGATCAAGAAGGGCCAGCTGCTGCCGACGCAGCTCAAGGGGGTCAGCCTCGTGAAGATGTCGCCGGCGGGGCCGAAGGTGGTGCTGGGGCAGCAGGGCCTGGCGAGGCCTACGTGGAGCACGGTGCTGGACCCGCAGATGTACGTCGGCCCGTACTTCGTCGCGCACGGTGTTGATAACCCGCAGTTCCCCGTGGGCACCAAGCTCCCCGCGTAACGTGAATGCGGGAGACGGCCTAGGTGGACGCTTATACGGGAAGGGCCTGCGTAAAGCTTGCAGGCCCGCTTGTGAAAGCGTATTCGAATGCAGATTATACATAGCGCGTATGGAGCGGATGTGATGCGTCATGCACAAGGCGTTCTTGTTGAACCTTGTGACTCGCTGCTTGATTGCCATGTTAACTCAATGGCTACATAGGCTGGAACTTTAGGGAGGATATTCACCTTTAGTTTATATTGTTATGAGATATTCTACTTATTATGTTGACTTAAGTTTCTGATTATCCTGAGAACTGAGAGGGTAGAGCTGGAGGCCCCAACATACAAACCTTCCAAACCATAATTTCTAGTCACAATTTCTGTTCTAGTATGCTACTTGTTGGGCAGAAACGCCCACATGTCATTTTTAGAGGATGGAGCTATAACAAAGCAAATATCTTGCCGAAACCTGTGGAAGCGAAGCGTACTGTAGTTGTAAAACATCTGTACAGTCCAGGTGATGCTGCTGTGGCAGCCAGTTTCAGCTCACCAATTGCAACCACTCTCGCTTCATTTGTCACAACACCATAGGCTCCCGCACTTCAGCGAGTGGTTTGTATTAACAGGCTACGAACTTTGCGAAAGCCTCTCACAGTCAAGGCATCACAATCTCACGGTCTTCAAAGGTGCCACCTCAGCAGCGCAGTACAAGCGGTTACCAGCATGTAGCTCGGTTCGCTCCACGGATCTGATGTGACGAAGCGACTCTTGGGGCACAGTTTGACAGGCAGACCCTTGAGAAGAGTTCCCTCCAATTCCTGAGGACGCGTCACAATTGCGACATCGATCTTGCGGGAGATCGATGTTCCGGGTACAGTAGTTCGCTGTGTCTTGTATCCCTATTTCGTTAATGTTCGTTAATACCCGACACGTCACCGAACGCTATGTCCCTTCCAGGTCGATCTGTCACCGCACTCAAATCATACTTATTGCATTTACAACTTTCAAAAAGGCTTCTAACCCCGTTAACTTTCGAACCTGAAGACGATCGCGCCACATCTGGCTCGGTGGAGATCGATTTACAGCTTTGGTGTGTGACCGCGATCCTCCCTCGATGTCGCAATTGTGACGCGTCCTGAGTCCATGAAGTCCTGCTGGCCTTGGGAATTGTGATGACAGCCAGTCCATTCCAGGCAAACAGGGAAATCCCCTGGCTTCAAAATTTTATTGATCAGAATAGCAAGTTCAAAATTTGCAAGAGGTAGCTAAAAGACTGGTGATATTTGCAGCACGCTGTGCTGTCCTGCTGTCCTGCTCCGGCTGTCTTTCCAGTCGATCGCGCGGATCAGCTCTCGGTCAGCTTCCGTGTGTTGATCGATCAGACATGGCGGAGCAGAAGAAGGGGTCGGTGTGGGGTTCCGTGAAGCCGTTCGTGAATGGCGGAACGGCTGGTATGATGGCCACCTGCGTGATCCAACCTATCGACATGGTTAAGGTTCGTTACTTCCTTCCCAACGTCGACTTACTTGACGAAAAAATAGAACAGATTGTCCTTTATCTGGACTTACTTGATCTTGAATGAACATTGTGAACCATCGTATCACGATCCGTTACTGAACATTTACAGCTCCTTATTTCATTTTTACTTATGAATCGTTTTCTTTTTCTTCCCTGTCGCCGTTTTTTAACCCTTGCGTACAACAGGTCCGGATCCAGTTGGGCCAGGGCTCGGCGTTTGAAGTTACAAAGAATATCATTCAGAAGGAGGGTGTGGCGTCCTTCTACAAGGTAACGTCATGCTTCGACACGAGATGTTGTCACGATTCGACACCAGGTTTCATCGTGCTCCTTGTGGATATGGCACCTGATCCAAACATAATGGCATGACGAAAGAAGATTTTAAGCTGCGTCAACAAGGATCGATCGTGCATTGACGCCAGTTACTAGTTTCAGGGAACTTGTGTGGTCCGTTTTCCAGAATGAGGAGATCAGTTTTTTCTGAATGAGGAGATCACTGTCTTAGCGCGAGTTGAGCTCTCGCCATCGCGACTCTTGCCTCACATTTTTATTTTAGGTTTACTAAGTTTGCCTTCGACTCCAACACTCGCCATCTTGCCCATTGCTGATCGAGTTGTTATCTCTAATCCATTCTTCCTCTCTTCAGGGTTTGTCTGCGGGTCTTCTCCGACAAGCCACATATACCACCGCTCGCCTTGGATCGTTCAGGTACTTCGCATTTTCCAATCGCACTCTACATTCCTCTTGTAACATGCAGTCACCATACTACTAGATTTTGCTAACGAGGTCCATGGGTCCTTACGCATTTTAGCGTGCGTGTCAGTACATATCATGCAAATGACGTGCATCGACAGTGCAGGGTTATAGAATCGCCACACAAGGTACCCCATGGAACCACATTGCGCGAAAATGAGTTGGTGAAATCGGACCTCGTTGACGTCAGTTATCAACGTCACGTGGAAGGTTGTGAGAGACCTATATCCCACGGTCTGGGCGGGATGTCCCTCTTCGTTTGCTCTCCGCTTAAGTGCTCCGAGAGATGCTGTACGCGTGGGGGAGACGCGCGCAGATCCGTACCCCTCTCGCATCCACGCCTCTCCAGGCAAATCCCACAGAAGCCTCGTTTTAGAGATCGTGAAATCAATCCCGTGAATTTTTTGGTTCGCTCATTCCCAGCCACATCTCTTGACCTCCTCCCGTCGCTGATCCGCAGGTATCTCACCACGGAGGCCACCAAGGCCAACGACGGCAAGCCCCTGCCGCTCTACCAGAAGGCGGCGTGCGGGCTGACGGCGGGCGCCATCGGCGCGTGCTTCGGCAGTCCCGCGGATCTCGCGCTCATCCGCATGCAGGCGGACTCCGTGCTCCCCGCGGCGGAGCGCCGTGGGTACAAGAACGCGATTCACGCTCTAACGCGTATAGCGGCGGACGAGGGCGTGACGGCGCTGTGGAAGGGCGCGGGCCCCACGGTGGTTCGTGCGATGGCGCTGAACATGGGCATGCTGGCGTCGTACGATCAGAGCATGGAGTACTTTAAGGACACGCTACAGCTTAAGGAGATCCCCGCTGTTATCGGTGCGTGCTTATAGTGGGATGTGATTGTAATGCGTGTGGTGTTCGATGGGAGTGGTGGTGGTGGGAGGCATGGCGCTGCACGTGGGCAGGCTGTCCTACGGTGAAACCAGAGAGCACATGGTGTGCTGTATCGCTTCCTCTCTCGTCCCCTCCCCGTCCCTCTGTTTGTGTCCTCCCCCCATATCGAGCCTGGTGTTCTTTCTTCACAACCCTGCTCGATCCCCCTTCCTCCCTTCCCCCCTTGGCACCCTTTCTCATCCGCCCGTCCCCATCCCTCAGGCGCGATTGCGGTATCCGGATGCTTCGCATTCGCATGCAGTCTGCCATTCGACTACGTGAAGAAGCAGATCCAGAAATACAAACCCTCTTTTTCTCTTCCGTCCTAATTCCCCCATCCCTCAGGCGCGAGCGCGGTCTCAGGGTTCTGCACTCCCGCATGCAGCCTCCCCTACGACTACGTGAAGAAGCAGATTCAGAAGCAGAAACCCTGTTTTCCTTCTGCCTTCCCGATTGTATCCCACCCCCCTGTCCCTCATCCCTCAGGCGCGAGCGCGGTATCTGGATTCTTCGCGTCCGCGTGCAGTCTGCCGTTCGACTACGTGAAGACGCAGATTCAGAAGCAGAAGCCGGGGCCGGACGGCAAGCTGCCGTACAGCTCCTCCATGGACTGCGTCGTGCAGACGCTCAAGCAGGGCGGCCCCCTCAAGTTCTACACCGGCTTCGCCACCTACTGCATACGTATTGCGCCGCACGTCATGGTGCGTGTGGGTCTAGTGCGGTGAAGAATGCGGGCTTGACATGATCGGGTGTGCTGGTTTGACGGTTGGGTTTGTTGGTTAGTCAGGGTTTGGGTGTGCTGCGCAAGACGCTCAAGAAGGGGGCCCTCTCAAGGGCCGGACGGCAAGCTGCCGTACAGCTCCTCCATGGACTGCGTCGTGCAGACGCTTGAGCAGGGCGGCCCCCTCAAGTTCTACACCGGCTTCGCCACCTACTGCATACGTATTGCGCCGCACGTCATGGTGCGGTATGTGTGGGTTTGGTGTAATGGTGTGGTTCGGTTTGGTCTTGGGGTGTGGGTGCGGCTGTTGGGGTAGAGTGGGTTTGATGTCATGTCATTTCGCTTTGCTGTTGTTTGAGTGAGTGTCGCTCAAGCTCGACTTCGCACACTTCGCCACCTCCAGCAAACGTATCGGTTACGCACATCATGGCATGCCCGGGTGTGATGTTGTGGAGTTGGGGGGTTCACGCAGCGGGTATGTGTCAGTCTCTCACACTGGATTTGCCCTTATGCGAGAATCTCAGTTCCTCGGGTTGCCTTGTGGTAGCTTGTCTAGTGTTCCCAAGGCTTTGTCTGACACTTGTGGTTTTAATTCTGGTGGCTTGCTGTGCGCTTTCCTCCTTGGTGCCCCTGCAGCTGACTTGGATCTTCCTCAACCAAATCCAAAAGCTTCAGAAGGCCAATGGCTTGTAGCGACCCTATGCGCCTGACTGAGCCTGTTGTTACTTGGTATCTCAAATTCGCTATTCTATACACTAGCTAGCTCGCAGACTCACTTCTACAAAATGCCGTCAAATCACTAAGGTGGACAAGCTCCTTATCTGACCTCAGGTTGTAAGAATGTAGACAAACAAAGCTCCTGCAACCTGGTATGGTATGATGGCAACTAGAAGCTTACCAAGTCGTTCACAAGCCGCTGGAGCTTTGACCTGACTCAAGGTTGATTGAGGAGTTCCAAATTTATTGGCAACACTAAGGGAACGTTTCTGTGGAGACACTTGTGTCTCAATCCTCTTGTGACGCATAAAAACAGCTTACACCGTACAATGTCACAAACGCATGTCGCCCTTGTGCGACTTTTCTGTATTTTTCATTTGTCAGCGCGAAACGTGCGGATGTCGCGGACTCTGTACGCGGTTCGAAATGTCAATGCACCTGGAAATGTCAATGTAAAAGGAATTTTCCTTACACTACCCCCCCCCTAAGGAGGTCCTCCTTTCGAAAGTGCGTGTACATCCCTGAAATTTTGGCTGCGCAAATACTCGGTGAGGACGGTGTGGTTTTCGATTCTGTCCAGCGGAACCCAATTGTCTTCGGTGGGTGTACGGTCCTTCCAGCGGAGAAAGAACTTGATCCTTCGGGCTCCTCGAGGGTCACGAACGCTGTGACTCAGGATTTTCTCGAGGGTGAAAATTGGTTCAGTTGGTGGTCTTTGTCATGCTGGCTGGGCGATTGCGTGGCAGTTGGCTCGTGGACGGGACGTAAGGGCGAAGTAGGCTGACGTGGAATGAAGGGCTGACGTACCAATCAGCAGGGAGGAGGAGGTGGGCGGTGACGGGTGTAAGCATGTGGCTTATGCGAAATGGCCCGCAGTATCGGGGGCGGAGTTTCGGGGTGATGGGCAGTCGGAGGTTCTGATGTGAGAATGAACGAGAATGAATGCACTATGAAAGAGTTGGGTACAAGTACTAACCCTAATTGGGTTGTACCCCATATAGGCTACCCCACTACAGCCTACACAAAAGCATAAGCTATAATGTTCTGACACACCCCCATAGGCAAAGTGGGGGAGTACAAGGGGTCACAAGACCAGTCAAACAAAGCAAAGCAAAGCAAGCTCAGGGTGGATCACAAAGTCACCACACATTCCGAGCACAAGGTCAAGGCCACAAGGCCAGTTCACATGCAGGAGTACATATATATATAAAAGGCTAGACAAGCAAGAGTAGGTGTATATATATATGTAACAGTACAAGTAAGGTCAAGAGGTGAGCAAGTGAGACAAGGCAGGCACAAGACCCAGCTGAGTACAGAAGCGCTGATCATCACAAGGCGCAAGCGCCTTGGTGAAGATATCAGCAGTGTTGGCCTCAGAGGCCACGTACACAAGACGCAGCTGACCACGCTGTCTTCACGAGCAAGGAAGTAGCGGAGAGCAATGTGCTTCGTTCTGTGCTCCAGTCTCTGCTCTCGACACAAGGCCAGCATGGCCTTGTTGTCTACGTACAGCACTGGAGGAGAACGAGGCGGCTCTCCGAGGTCAGTCAGCAGGTAGGTGAGCCAGCGAAGCTCCTGTGCAGCCATGGCCCCGGCGTAGATCTCAGCCTCACAACTGGAGCCGAGAACAGAAGACAAGCGGGTAGCCCGCCACGAAACAGAGCCGGAACCAAGGCTGAAGGTGTAACCCTGTGACGACCGCTGCGTAGCCTGGTCGTCAGCCCAAGAAGCGTCTCCGTGCCCAGTGAGGACCACTGGACTCTGCCCTCCAAGCACAAGCCCCATGCTTGACGTACTGCACAAGTAGCGCAACACCCTCTTCGCTGCAGCCATGTGCTCCGGTCCGTGTCTCCCAGGAGCAACATAGCGTGCGAGAATGCTAAGAGGGTATGCAAGGTCAGGTCGAGTGCAGGTCATCAGGTACATGAGGCAGCCAACAAGCTCTCGGTACGGGCCACTCGACTCTACAGACTCATCCGAAGGCAGAGGTGAGAGCGAGTGGCGAGTAGGCAGAGGAGTGGCCTGAGGCGAGGAGTACGTGAAGCCGAAGCGCTGAAGGACCTGCTGCACCATGTGTGACTGAGTCAGGGTAATGGTGCAGCGTGCTCTGTCCCAGGTGATCTGCAAGCCAAGGTAGCTGCGCAGTTCACCCAGGTCTGTGCACGTATGTCTCTTCTGCAGCTCGGAGTTCACGTCGGCGAGTCCAGCAGTGTCAGCTGTGGCAAAGACCAAGTCGTCAACGTACACGAGGATGTAGAACGGCGGCAAAGAAGTGTCAGTGCGTAGAAACAGCGACGGGTCGGCAGTAGAGGGAGCAAACCCAAGAGCCGCAAGTGTAGTCCTCGGTGTGTCGTGCCACTCACGCGGTGCCTGGCGGAGACCGTAGACTGGCCGCCGGAGGCTCCACTGGGTGCCAGGAGGAAAAGACCCAGTGAAGCCAGGTGGGCGGCGCAGCCAGATCTCTTCGTGCAGGCTGCCCTGCAGGAAAGCTGTGCTGAAGTCAAGAGAGTGAAGCTCGTAGTCACGGTGAGCAGCTATGTGCAGCAGTACCCGAAGAGAGGTCATCTTCGGGGTGGGAGAGAAGGTCTGAAAGAAGTCAACTCCCTGCCGCTGACTGAAGCCACGAGCCACGTAACGCGCCTTGAAGATAGGCGGAGAACCCGGCGGCCGCTTCACCCTGAATATCCACATGCCACTGACTATGTTCGCCCCAGGCGGGGGGAACCTCGTCAACGTAGGTGCCTGTGGACTTCCAGGAAGCCATCTTTGCGCCCATAGCTGCCTGCCACTGAGAGGAGTAGGGACCCTCTATCGCCTCCGCGTAAGAGCGCGGAGTCGGGATGTCAAGTGCATCCAGGTCTCCCTCAGGGGTAAGCAGTACGGACACGAGATGAGGTGAAGCAGCAGCCAGACACTGGAACTCCTCCTGCTTGTCCTCAAGGACGTCCGTGCCAAGGGCACACTCACCCCCGACGGACGGAGGACAGACAGACTCAGACTCAGCAACTAGACTGGCGGCGTAGTCTAGGCGACAGCGAGCAGCAAAGTCGACGAGCTCAGCAACTAGGGCAGACGCAGCAGTGGACTCAAAGGAAGGGTCAGTGACAGCAGTAGCAAGGAGACGCGTGACAGTAGGACTGGCAGCACGAAGAGAGTCCGACTCCGGGTCGGCAAGAGCAGGAAGAGAAGACTCAGGAGGAGAAGGTAAAGGGGCACCCAGAGGAGCAGTGGACGGATGCAGAGACATCCGGTGCGTGCCAGGGACAGGAGGAGGACGCTGACGCGAACCGCGACCTCTAGTGCGAGCTTGACGGACAGGCGACGCATGGCGAGACGCAGGCTCACGACGCTCAGCAAGACCTCCAGTAGGACCAGTGTAGGGAGACGGAGCAGGCAGTGGGGAGGCCGGCTGTAACTGTAACTGTGACGGGACAGGCTGTGGACACTCGAAGGGAGGAGGAGGACCAGTAGAAGGCGGGAGACCAAGAACCTGCTGAAGGAGCGGAACGAAGTACGGCCGAGGCCGCGCGGCGACTTCAGACACAGCAGGGACAGCACCAGTACCCCCAGTGGCAGCACCAGCACCAGCAGCACCTCCAGCTCCAGTACCTCCAGCAGCACCAGTAGCACCCCCAGCAGGACCGCCTCCAGGATCGACAGCAGTAGCCTCCGCGCCAACACCCGCAGCAGCTCCAACTCCAAAAGTACCCGCAGGCCCAGCAGCTCCAGTTGTGAGAGTACGACGGCTTATGCCAGCTATGCTTGCTTGCCTTTACTTTATCATGCTATTTCTAGCATAGGATAATTATATGCATGCATGAATTGCTTGATCGAATAGGCTAGGTGCTTTCCTATATTTTATTATAGTTATAGCACCGAGCTAGGTTGCGTGCACCGAATTCTGGCTTTTCGGTTGCCACCGAATTGCCTTCTACCGAATTCGGTAAGGATCCGTTCAGGACGCTACGCGGCCCGCGGAACCTTCGCGTAACACCTGGTTACGGGGCCTTGTGTCGAGCCTATATATAGCCTCGTGTTGTACCCAGGTGAAGACATTCAATTCAATTCAATTCGACTCAATTCTCATTCTCTTTTCTGAACTCGATCCTAGATCCTCACACTTGGTAATCAGAGCGGGTTTACACGCGAGGTCTGTCAGAACATATAGCTTACTTGTTTCTGTAGGCTATAGTGGGGTATCCCATAAGGGGTACAACCCAATCAGGGTTTCCGATTTGTACTCACTTCGTTCATAGTCATTTCATTCTCGTTCACTTCTTCTCATGGTATCGAGCAGGTTCCCCCGTGGGAACTGTTCGTAGGGCCCACCACCGCTACCTCTTAACTGTTTTCTGCCCAGAGCGCGCTCCGGGCCCTAGTACTTTTTTTTTTTTTTTCGATCTGCCCTAGTGCTCTGACGGCCGCCCGCCCTAGCGCCCGCGCGCCGCCGCCCTTGCGCCCTGACAGCCGCCCGCCCTAGTGCCCTGACGGCCGCCCGCTCTAGCGCCCGAACGCCGCCCGCCCTAGCGCCCTGACGGCCGACCGACCTAGCGCCCTGACGGCCGCCCGCCCTAGCGCCCGAGCGCCGCCCGCCCTAGCGCCCGAGCGCCGCCCGCCCTAGCGCCCTGACGGCCGCCCGCCCTAGCGCCCGTGCGCCGCTCGCCCTAGCGCCCTGACGGCCGCCCGCCCTAGCGCCCTGACGGCCGCTCGCCCTAGCGCCCTGACGGCCGCCCGCCCTAGCGCCCTGTCGGCCGCCCGCCCTAGCACCCGAGCGCCGCCCGCCCAAGCGCCCGAGCGCAGCCCGCCCTAGCGCCCTGACGGCCGCCCGCCCTAGCGCCCGTGCGCCGCTCGCCCTAGCGCCCGAGCGCCGCCCGCCCTTGCGCCCTGACGGCCGTCCGCCCTGACGCCTGAGCGCCGCCCGCCCTAGCGCTCTGACGGCCGCCCGCCCTGACGCCTGAGCGCCGCCCGTCGTCGCC